TGAGCATGGACAGTGTGAGTGTCATCACTCTGTTTCTGTTTGGAGAAAAATGACCTGTTGCAACTGTCCCTTGTTGCTACTGTCCCCGGTCTGCCCCACTGTTCTGTGTGCGAAGCTGATAAAGTTGTGGATGAAATGGAGTCAAATCTTTAAAAACGTCTCATGGAGGAGATTAGAAAACTTTATGACGTGAGTGAAGGAATATGAAGACTTTCAGCGAGCAACAAATTTGTTGGAGGAAACAGCTCAGATCCTGGGTTAGGTAGTTCTTTTATTTTTTCTTTTATTGTTTTAAAGCTAAAATGCAAACTCTGTCTTCCTGCTGATCCTTGACATCATGAGTGAAACTGTGAGAAAGGAGATAATCTGCCAGGCGGTCAGTGGAGGAGAGCAGGGTTGGCTGTCAGTCACTACATCTGTACCCTAGAGGGCGCTGTTACAAAACATGTTTGTGTGAGTTTACACACAGTATTAGTTGTCCTCACCTGTTTGTTCTTGCTGCTCAGTGATTTATATCCTTACCAAGCAGCAGTTCTCATTTTTACTGCTAAATTGTGCTTTTTTATTTATTTATTTAAAGCTCATTTCAACTTTGGTAATTTCACTCCTCACTTCTCTTTTTCTCAACTGTTTTGCATTCAAAAGCACATTTTTTTCTTTTTGTGATAACTGAATTAAGTTACACACAGTTTGTTATTTTGATAATAATGTTTTTACTTGAAATCAGAGTTAAAACAAAATAAATATATGAAGTAATAGTGTTAGTTTGTGGAGCCCATCACAAGCTCTAAATAATATCCAGTCAGTACATTTTATTCTTTAACACAATGAGTACAAAAACTGCCAAAAAGATTATTGAAATATATTTATGTTTTGTTTTTGCTGAAGTTTTACTCATCTAACTATGTATATATATATGTATATATGACGAAATTAATTATTATTTTAAGTTTCTTGCACAGTGTTTCACAGTGTTGAAATACATTGTTCATTGTGTATCCTACAGTATCCTCTGTAATGTTTGACCACAGGGATTTCAGACATGACGGAACCCGGAAATGACCTCTAACTGGAGCAATGACATCATTCACGTTCAGGAAGCTGAGCTGAGAGCCGTGCTCTGAGGAAACCTGGAGCTTTCTGCGGGGCTTCAGGACCACCGGAACACGTTTGGGACTGACTGAACACAAACAGACAGGAAGACGTCACAGACATGTCGGAGGAAGCCAACAGTCCAGTAAGTTTCCATCAAAACTCTCTTCATATTTATACGCACCGTTCATTCAGCGCGCTAATGTTCGGCGTTACTTCCGCATGCGTCATCAGCTGGTTGGTCCTGATTGGATTGTGTTCGTGTCAGTTTGAAGGTGAAGCTTTTGATTGGACAGAAATGCCGGAAAATATCGAGGTGTTTATTTGAGTTTGAAGAAAGCAGAGAGACTTTTTAACCGGTGTAACTTTAATAAGTTATACTTCAGTACTGAGATACAACTAAAAGTACGTGTTGTACAAAATAAATCATTGTTTTATCTCCGAACGAGTTGTTCACTGCAGCTGAGAAACTTTAGGTGAAAACCTCAGCTGTCCTGTAACACCTAGAGACCAGACTCACCTGTCCTGTAACACCTAGAGACCAGACTCACCTGTCCTGTAACACCTAGAGACCAGACTCACCTGTCCTGTAACACCTAGAGACCAGACTCACCTGTC